ATCTGCACCTGAGATGGATCGGACGCATTTTTATCATGCTTGAACTGCAGTTGGGGGTCTGCAGAAAAATCACTCCGAGGGCCACAAACGGCCCCTGCGCCGCTCTTTGGACACCCCTGCAATAAAGGGAGACTAAAAACAATAATGAAAGCAGTTCTGGTGTTTTTTCCTTTCGTCTGGTGTCTTCAGCTTTACTTATTACACTTTATAAGCACAACCCTTTGGTAAGCCAACCGTATGCGTCTCACTTTGCAGTAATTAAACTGTCGTTTTCATGACGAACACAGTTTGAGAAATTCTCCTTTAAAATCTTGAATAAATCTGTGTTAGCTACAAGTGTTAGAAATTATTTTAAGCCGCTAAAGCTATGAAATCACGAGTTAGCCTCTCGATGGTTAGATAACCTTCCCTACAACCATCTTCACAGCAGCTTTGAGAAAACATAATTTTAGTTTATCAAACCCTGTTAAATTATAGAAGACATGCGGCCTTCAGTTGGTTCTGAACTGCATTCATTTTTGACAGCCATTGTGGAGCAGAGCTGCTCGCAATCCTCTTAACTAAAGTGGATTTTGTCCATTCGAAAGAGCAGAGTTATTGTTCATTTGGACATTTCATCACAGGGCATTGCTCGGAAATGTGTGTGTTTTTGCACCGATCGCTGCAAGTCTCAGCAAATCTGATTTAATAAAGAGAGATGTGCAGCTCATAATTGCAAGTGACAGGTTATTAAGTTGTTACAGCGTGGGAGATACAAGTTCAAGCCCCAGGAGATTAGCTGTAGTGTGTAAAATAAATGAATGCAACTGCTCAGACTCTTCCAGCACATGTTGATTTTGAACTTTTTTAGATAGAAGTATCTCCAAAATTGCTTAAAAATTAAAGATCTGCCGACACAAAGACATAAGAATTAAGAGCTAGCCTTATGCCAAGTGGTTTTTCACTTCACTCAAGATTCGCCGCTTAGCTTTTAGATATTCTCATGTTTTTTTAGCTCATGTAAATTTAGTTTACTGACCAAATAAATCTGCTCTCCACTGAGTTTGTCTTGTGCATCAACCTCTACTGCTGCTGTGAAAGAGAGCTGCAAGCGATCCACTGAAGAAAGACGATTATTATCAATTTTAAGGAATTTTTTCTTCTTTGTCTTACGTTGCACCACTCAAAAATGCATGTTTGCACTTAACGAGCCTTAATCTGGCCTTAATGAAGAGAAATGTTCACCTCACGCATCAAAATGGCGAGTTATTACGTTTTTACAGTGGAGGAGATCCAAGTTCAAATACCAGCACTGGTTCTGCAAAGCACAAAATAAGCTAATACTATCAGCCAGATGATGACACAGCAACATTATGACCATGAATGTATTTAAAACAAAAATTATTTTTTGGAATTTGGTGAAATTTTGCTTTATTTTCTTTTTCTTTTGGACAGTTATGATGCGTAACCATCTCAACAAAGTGTTTGTCGTTGTTTTTTAACTTTAAACAGCTGAATTAGCATCTCAAAGTCTTAAATAACTCCTGAACTATGACCTCACATTAAGAGCAAGGCTTCATAGGTTCAAAGAGCAGAGAAAGAAGCATGAAGTTCAAACCACCAAGTATCAAATCCTCTACTCCAGCATCTCTCTAAGAACACAAACAGATTTAAAACGTAGCGTCAAAAACAAACGAGGTGGATCAGCAGTGTTTGGCAAAGGCTGCTGGTATCATCCAGGACATGTTACTGTGGAATATCATCATCCCTGGTGCCTGAAAATTTAGCAGTTAGCATGTCGTGTTAGCATCTTCAGTCAGAGGCTTCTTGAGGTTTGTTGCGAGATTGACTGCTACCAGACATCAACATCCACATTGACTCTTTGAATAAACAGTTAAAATAACATTTATCTCCCTTCTGGATGGCATCATTCAATTGAATTGAAGACAAATGCCAAAAACCATCCATCATATTGCAAAAGCCAGAGTCCCCAAAAATTTAGAACTATAATATATTTTCATGTTGGAGCAAGTAAATACTAAAGCAAGAGTAAAAAAAGTATTTAGTAAAAAGTCTAAATGATCAAATTATCAGTCATCTAATATTTAAAAATTACACCAGACGGACCAAAATATAAAGTTAAGAGGAAATTTCGGTATCTTAAAGGAGCAAAATGACAATAAAAACTGCAGCTGTGTGTCTGTCTGGTGAAATTTTGGTTAAAATATGTTTGTTTTTCATTCAGTGAGTAGAAAAACCAGAAAATTACTCCTGTAAAGGTAATTGAGTAAATGTAACCAGTTGCTACATCATCTTATTACACTATATGTTAATTTATTTGCTTAGCATTTAGATTTTCTTTCTATGCGTTTTCAGTTTTTCTCGTTTCTTTTAAAATACCAAAGATGTATATCTTTAAAAATGACGTAAGCAATTCTCTTAACTAAAACAGATGCTCTACATTTGGAGAAGCAATTTCTTTTCTGCCTCTGCTAACATCATGTCATCTTGCAAATGCATGTTTGCACTGATAGCAACAAGTCTCCAGAAATCTGGCTAGATGGAGAGAGGCGTGCTCCTCACGCTCACAAGTGACAGGTTATTAGGTTCCTACGATCCAAGTTCAGGCAGAGGAAGCAGAAACCCACATGCATTAATCATAACTGATTTATTGAGAAATAACCTCAGAGGGCAGCTGGTCAATTTCTCTGTGCCCCACAGCGTACTGTGGTTTGCTGCTGCTGCATTAACATCCTCACAGGAAGACAAATTGTTTACCAATTCATTTTAAAAGTGAACATAAGACAAAAATGTTATATTTAGTTTTCATATCTTTTAAACAGGTGATGAAAGATGTTAGAAAATAAGTTAAAATCTTTAATAGAAAGTGCAAATTTCAACATCATCTATTTTTTCTTTATTTGCTGAATTTATGCAATTGATCCTCCAGCTCCAATCCGTCATACTCTGCAGACTCATGTTCTGAATGCAGATAAAATCAGTTTTTCTCTGCAAAGAATAAAATGTGCTGCTGAGTCTGTGAGACTTCAAAGCTGTTTTTCTCTGCTCTCTTGCCAGGGTCATCACAGATAGCCGGCAACTATCTGGCTCCCCAGGCAAGACTTAAAGCTTTGACTATTGGTATGCGGTTAGAATTCAAACCTCGGTTCAGCATTCAGTCGAGCAGCAACAACAGCAGCAGAAGTAACAGCCGCACACACATGCAAGCTGAGGCAGAGCGAAAACTATGAAAAAGATATATATTGGCAAAACAGCCCTGAAAAGCCAGAGAAATGGATGCAAACATCCAAAACGAAGGTAAGAAAAATCGGCTTTGACCGTCGTTTAAACTTCAAACATTGTTCTCATTGTTCATCTCCACATCTTCTATTATCCACCATCTGCTTCCAGTTAAACAAACCATTAATCTGATCATGGTGCTTTCTCTAACTGAAAAAGTGAGAAATCCAATGAAGTTAGGGTCATATACAGCGGCGCCCCTAAAGGGGGGGATAAGGGGAACCATGACCACAACTGTGAAAAAAAACTGCTATTTTGCTGATTCTGCTTTGTTGTGTTTTCAACTGATTGTTTTGATCTTGTGAAGGTCTGACATAAACCTAAACCAAACAGGCAAAGATAGCATGTGAAGCTAACATGTGATGCTAACATGTGAAGCCAACAGGCAGAGCTAACAGCTATTTTGCTGATTCTGCGTTGTTGTGTTTTCAACTGATTGTGTTGTTTTGCAAACATTTGAAATAAACCTAAACCTAACATGTTAAGCTAACAGGCAAGGCTAGCAGGTGAAGCTAGCTAACAGGTGAATATAAATATTTCGCTGATTCTACTTTGTTGTCTTTCCATTTGTTTTTTGTTTTTTGAAGGTCTGAAATAAACTTCAGCCAATATGAAGAAGTTTAATAATAAGCTAATATGTTTCTTTCAGACCTTTTCTTGCAAAGCTAAGTGCTTTGCAACAAATAGTTGATTTTGCTTAGCTGTTTTTCTATATGATTATTTGTTCTTGTGAAGGTCTAAAATAAACCAAAACCTAATATATATATATTACCATTGACCAGGTTTTACCAGTAAAACCTGGTCAATGGGACGTGACCAGGAAAACATGCCAAACAAAATAATTAAATCATCTTAAAAAACATAAAGCCAACATGTGAAACTAACAGGCAAAGCTAACATGTGATGCTAACAGGTGAAGCTAACAGTTATTTTGCTGACTCTGAATTGTTGTCGTTCCATCTGATTGTTTTATTCTTACAAAGGTCTGACATAAACCTAAAGTTAGCAGGCGAGGCTAACGTGTGAAGCTAACACTTGAAGTTAACAGGTGATGCTAACTGTTGTTTTGCTGATTCTGCATCGTTTTCTTTCCATCTGGCAGTTTTGTTGAAAGTCTGAAATAAAGTTGAAGCACTTTGAATTGCCTTTATGCTGAAAATGTGCTACATAAATAAAATTACCTCACCTTACCGAACAGGTGAAGCTAATGTGAAGCTAACCGAAGCTCTTAGTTGGCTGTGCAGAAACTTTGAGATGTTGTGACTCAAATATCCATCAGTTCAGCTAAAAGTGAAAAATGATGCAACACTGGGTCTTCAGTTAGTGTGTTTCTATTGTAAATTCTTAAATTTTTCTTCCGTTTTACCATCTAGCTAAAAGTAGAAGCACAGAAAGCTTCTGTTCTACACGTTTAGACATCTTTATGACTCACCAATATTGTGTCTGTGGCAAAAATCCGGTCCTCTACATTCTGAGATTGGATTAGGCCGATGTGTAATGAAATTCACTGCTACACCAATGGGAGATTGGGAGATGTTTGTCCTGGTCATGCTGCCTCACTCTGAGTGGAACATTTTTAGTATTCTTCCTCCATCCATCTCCTCCTTCACATCTCTCTAAACCCAAACTGAGTTACATTTCATCTATACTTCACTCCCTCTGCCGTTTTCTCTCTGTTGTGACGATGAGATTCTCCTAACCGGCCCCTAACATCTGTTCAGCTCTTTCCACGACCACAAGGACGACCTCCGCAAGCGTCTGTCGTACACCACACACAAACTAGAGATGGTGGAGACAGAGTTTGACTCCACCCGGCAGTACCTGGAGACGGAGCTGCGGCGCGCCCAGGAGGAGCTGGAGAAATTCACAGAGAAGCTGCGCAGGTGAGTGTATGATAACTAAATCATGTCAAATTACTGCTTGGTAGCACAAACAACATGCTTCTGTTTTAGGCCCTATTTACTGATGAAAATGTGTTTGTTCTCTACATTTACATGAAACCACCGAATGTTTTCTCTGACACAGTTTGAGAACGGGTTCCACAGTGCAATGGTTCTGAAACGTATCAGTGTTTGTTGTCTTGTAAGCAGAATAAATAGATCTTTTCTGTCAGGCAATCCCTAGCTCATGCGTAGTATGATGTACAACATAGCTGCTTCCAACAAACCACAGAAGAAGAAACTACTGACTGCTGGTATGGCCTCACATTCCTGCCAAAATCTGAATGCTTGTTTTTTATTTAGATATTTGTTAAAACTATTTATGTCATAGTTTGCTATGAGATAAAAAAAAAATCTGTGAAAAAAATCTAATTCCTGCAAGTTCTCCCTGAGATACTGAAGAAATGTACTGACTACAAAACAACCAATCAGAGCCAGGAGGAGGGTTTTAGTACTGTCAATCATCCTCGTGTACTCCCTTAACTTAGAGTTACAGGAAAACCGTTTACCACCTGTTGTCAGTGGCTATACTAACTAGTCTGAGAAGTCATAACATGCTACACTAGCTGCAGAAAAGAGAAAGGAAAGAGATTATGAGTGGTGATTGACAGCGCTAAGACCCGCCTCTTGGCTCTGATTGGTTGTTTATAGTTAGCACTGGGAAAAGACAATTTAGACAAATATGTAAAACTTTTCTGTTTAGTTTAAACAGAAAATATGCTCAATATTAATAATAATACACATCTTCAAACAAGTCGTTGTCAATGTTCTTAAGTCTTATTTTAATCATAACATATTTATTTTTACCATTGTTTTACCAGTAAAACCTGGTCAATGGGACGTGACCAGGAAAACATGCCAAACAAAATAATTAAATCATCATAAAAAACATAAATGCAATAATTTGAAAAGAGGTTTTAAAAACACCAGTTATGATTTTGATTTAAACTATTTCTAGGAAGAGTTTTAAATCAGTTTCAATGACTTTTGCTAATTATTCCATAACCAAGGAGCAAGAAAAAGCTTTTATATTTTTTATTTCACTCCTGACTGGAGACATGTTTCCCAAGGCAGCCTCTTAAATAAATCATGATTTTTGCCACAAGAGCAAAGCAAAATGTTCAGCTTGAAATCAGAATAAAAATAAAATCTGAGAGGAGACCGTTACACCTTTACAGGACATGATGTAGCATAATGTAGCTTATTAAATTAGATTAAAGTTATTAATACTCCTCTCAATCTTATGATCTCTAATCACTCTGCAGGATTAAATCTTGACCTTTGCATTAAGCAAATTAGCACTAAAAATGTACTTTAGTTAATGATTTTATCAAAAATCTGGTAAATCAGTTTAATTTTATTATTAATCACATTAAGAGCTGGAGCGCAGCGAAGCATTTTCTGTCTCTTTAGAAATTTCTTTTGTGTTTGCCCTGGGTGTTATTACAATCAAGGACTTAAACATGTAATAATTACACAAAAGATTTGACTGATTACTGTTTTTAAAGTTTTCACAAAATAAGCTTCTTCATACAGGAGAAGTTTTGACAGATTATTTGTTAAAATTCTTTGATTTCTAATTTGAAGTATTAGAAAAAGCAGCTAAATTAGGTGACAGGTAAAACTTTAGAGTTAATAGATGATAAAAAATGAAAAGGTATTTTTCCACCAATGTGTTAGGAAGCAATTTAAATTTTTTGTCCAGGTTGTGGAATTTTAATGCCTTTAAAAGATTTATGTGACGTTGAAAAGAGTGCCAATTACGCAAAATTCACATTTTTTATTTTTTTGTACTTTCATCTTAGTGATGAGTTAACAGAAAATGAGTTGTTTCAAAAACTTCCAGAATAAGCAGGTATTCCTAAAACAGACAGGCAGAACTGAACAGACTAAAATCTTGTTATCCAAGATTAATTTTGTACAAAAAAAGTAAAAACAACGTTTTGTCTCGCCCATAGATCTGTCCTAACCTGTTCAAGGAAGCCTAATAGATCACCTGTAAGCTTTGAGTTCATTTCCCAGCTTGGTAAATAAACTTTGGAGCAACAAGATTAAAAGCACCAGGATAGTGAAACAGTTTAATGTTTTCTGCAGCCAGTGAAAATCAAAAACCTGCTCTCTCAACAAACGTTCCCATTTTGGCAAAAACAAGGGAGAACGCAGATAAAAACTGTATGAAAAATGTTCAGTCCCTATTTATTATTGACTTTTAAACTCTAGAACAGTTCTAGTTAGCTGATCTCTTGTGCCGCCCTCAGCATTAACTCTGAAGATGACAGATTTTATTTCTCCTGGCTTTACTTTGTTATGTCCAATTATAATCTTTATTCTGCCTCTAACACTCCTGAGTTTTATGGCTTGTTTTGTTTATGGTCTCCTGCGCCCACACTCTCCAGAACTGCCCGCTTAATGGAGCCATAAACGGCAGTTTATATAAAACACATGAGTTAATATTATAATATGTGCTGAATAAAAAGGCGAGGTAGTAAAAGAAATGCTTCATCTGTAACTATTGTTTAATAGGAATATTGAAGCCAAGCCAGGGAGAAAAAAGGCAGCACACAAGCAGAAAACAAAACCTTTTACTTACTTAAATGTGGTTGTAACTGGGCAGAAAGAATCTCCTGTAGCTGTCTGTGTTACAGCAGATCAATAAAAGCCTCTGATTTGTAGCAATCAAGTCTCAAAAAGCCAAAATTTGGGTTGAATATCTTGAACTTTTGCACAATAATCTCCAGAGGTTTAAAACAGTTTCTATTATATTAAAGTGATGCATGGATGACATTAAAAAGCTTTAAAAACAACAACTATATCACATAGAAGCTGTGTTTCCATTGACCATATAGTTGTGCAATTTGGAATTTAGAAAATAAATATTCTTAATGGAAACACGCAAATTTAGAAAAAAAATGTTTTTGCGCTTTATGAACTCAAAATTAGTTCATGTCGCAAAACGGAAACAGATTTTTTGCATCACATTGATCATGTGATCAACGACCGGATGTTACTACTGGCAGAAACACCAAAAAAGACGACAGGACGCAGCTGGAGGATTATGGCGCAGCTCGTTTTTTAATGTAGAAGTCCAGAAATTTGATGACCACATTTTTACTCACTGGTTCTGATTTGTCATCAGCAGTTTAGAAACTAAAAATATATATTTTTTCCTATCTGTGAATGCACCATACCTATCAAGTGGCACTAACGACGCTTCTTTTTCCAGCGGAAGAAAACTCAATGTTAGATATTTTCTGTATCAGAGGAAGAACAGCATAGACAGGGACATATATATCTTTCTTTTGTTGAGAGAAAATGTTGAAATTTGAGATTCCAAATCACCCAAAAAAATCTCACAGATAATTATTATTTTATACAAATCTTTTTATGAATGTTTTAGTTCAGATTTTTCTTTTTCTTTATCGATTTCTCTGTTTTCTTTGGGGTTTTTCAGGATCCAAAGTAGTTACTCGTCTCTTCAGAGGATCAACCAGGATTTAGAGGACAAGATGTGCAGGACGGTAGGAAAACCTGATATTTTATAACGTAGATCTCAACTTATTTAACTTTAGAAAACATTTCTGTCCAAAGGTGCAATCAAAATCTATTGATTATATATTTAATAGATTGGTTTTGACACAGTTTTCATATCTGAAATGTTCATCTTCAAAAATAATATACATTATTTTGATATCATGTGCTGAATTTTATTCAAATGGAATATAAATTTAAATTTGTAAACATAAGTTCATTGGAAATTCATGTGTTTTCTTGAGAAAATACCTCAATATTACGCCATTTTGAATGTGTGTTGTGTTGTTTTTCTGGTATTTTCAGTGAAAAAAGTTTTTTTAGAATAATTTTGAAAGGCACATCAAACATATCCGTCTATGTTGGGCTGGAATTACTTCAGTCAAAAACATTAAATTGTCCAGTTACCAGGAAACCAGGAAAGTGTTCAGGTTACAGTTGCCTTGGCTGCTTTTCTTTCCTGATGTTTTATGATTATTACGCTCACAGATTTAGCATATCTGCAGCTACATCACCACATTTTGTCTCTAAACTGTCTGAAAATCCCAGTAAATCATCAGTTTATAATGACTCACATTTAGAGGCCCAACTCTGCCAAGTGATTGGCTGATTAGTCATTGTGTAGAAATTTGGGGCAATAAATACAAAACTACAAAAAAGAGCAACAGGTTGGTAGAAGTTGCTATCTGCTGGTCTAATTGAACATAATTGGGAATTAGAACATTTTTATCAAATTTTCAGGTGTTTTGGTTCGATTGGGGATCAAAATTGCAACATTTGTTACATTTCCAGCTGCTGCAGTTCACCGTAAGTCAAACCAACCAAACCAATTGAAAAAGCTGTTCTCCTCCTCGACTGTGGGGGCGCTGCACCAAAAACTACTGAAGGAAATGACACAAAAACCTCTGACGAAAACATGATCACAACTTCCTTCTTTACAAAATATGAAGAAAAATTTTGTAATTTCTAATTTTAGTGGTTGTAGGATTTCTCTTTTGGCTTTGGTAAAATAAAATAAAAAAATCTTACTACACTTGAAATGAGACAAAACCAACTTAGTAACTTTTCAGCAATATACAGGAGCTTATTTTGAGAAAAATTCCTTAATATTAACAAAAGTTATGTCTTATTTCAGATATGCTAAGGTATTTGCAGTAGAAACTAGACCAGAATTAACTTGGCCAGAGTTTGTTTTTGCAGCTAACAGTAGACTATATGTTCATCATCTCTGGGAGGAAAACTGGAGAAAATCCATGTCTGCATATGGAGAAAATGTGAAATAAAAGCCCCAACTAAGATTTGCTTAAACTGCCAGCTTTTGTTGCTGAATCCATTGAAGTGGGCAGAGTACCCAAAACTTGGACTCAAGTCAGAGCAGAACTACTTCAGCTTAGTTTTACTCAAGTAAAAGTAAAAAATAGGCAAGAAAGTACTCAATTATGAGTTAAAAAGTATTTGGTAAAACTTCTACTGCAGTGCTGAGTAACAGGTCTCATCATTAATCATTTAATATTTAAAAATTACATTATTATTATCAGATGGACCAAAGTAGAAAGTTAAGTGGAAGTTTTGGTATTCTAAGTGTGAGAGAGACCAAATTTATTAGTTTATTTATTAGTTTATTCTTTAGGTACCGAATGCGACAGGCTGAGATTTTGTGTTAAGGTAAATGCTTCAAAAAGACACATATGCTTCATAAAGCTTCATAAAGACACATCCGGATGTCATCTGTGCCTGATCCCAGCAACATATGGACGGAAATGACAATAATTCATATAAATGTTATAGAAATAACAATAACATTTTTCAAATCAACAAAAACTGCAGGTGAATATTTGATTAAAACATGTTTGTTTTTCATTCAGTGGGTAGAAAATCCATAAATTTTACTTTAGTAAAAAAGTAAAGACATTTTTTACTTTTATTGTTACTCAGGTAATTGAATAAATGTAACCAGTTATTAGCCCCGTATCTCCCATAACTGTTACTCTTCTTTAATTCAATAAGAAACCTCCCAGTCATATTTCTATGAAGGTGCAACTTCACATTAAAAAAAAATCAATCTCCCAGTTTTCAGATTTGCTCAGTAAAGAAAAAGAATCTTATATTTGTCTAGCCCTGTATAATATGCTGTTGTTCTCACACTTTAATCAATGACCCTATTAAATCTTTTCATCTGCGACTCTTTAGAAAAACCTAAAATGCCAACCAGGATTTAAAAACCTGCTAAGGTAGAAATAAAAACCTAATGAGGATAAATACAAACACTTCCTATTCTGATGCCATACAGAAATTACAATAAATGATATACTCTCACAATAAATTAACACCTTTTCTGGATAACAACTGCTCTCCGCTGCATCTAAGAGATTAGAAAATCAATTCAGCTCACCTGTCCAGCCGCAGAAACACACTCACCTCTCTCACAGCAATTACACGATCAGAGGTGAAATCGATGTGTGGAGTAATTGGTCTCAGCTGCTGCGCAACCTCGTCAGGAAACTGTGAGAGTTAACCGTTCAGCTCTCTGATCAGAGCAGGTGAGGTATTTTCAGCCGTTTTCCTCGCAGTTTTAAGCTTTGGACTCCCTGCATGTTATTGTTTACAACTGGAAGTTTCGCGCATGCGTACAATGCTGCAGGGCAACGTCCATTATAACCGCGCAGGCGCAGTAGAACGAGTAGCTAAATAAAACCTGGAGATGTAGGAAGTAGTAATTTAGTCCACTGCGCCACAGCATTAGGAAAGATAACCTAGAAAATCACTATAGAACAACTAAAATCCACTATTTTCTCGCTTTCTGTGTCGGCTAAGCTACATACATACTCGTTGTCATAGCATCAAATAACGCCATTTTATGTATCGAGACTCAACACCAAAAAAATAAAATCCCTCAAACATTTCCCACACAAATAACAGATCATTCAGTCCGTTGCAGTTATATGTTTTTAGGCCCGGTGTTTATTTTTGCGAATATCAAAAAGTGATCACTGTGTTAGCTTAGCTGCTAGCGGAAGCTAAACTATTAGCTTAGCTTCCGCTGCTAGCAGCTAAGCTAATACAGGCTCTTTATTAGCCAGTTTAAACATCTGCTCTACTGATGATCGGTCAGAGTTCATAGGTCGCCTGTTTTCATTTTTTAACTGAACTGAAACACTGAATTTCTCATCATATTTACATGTTACGGTCTTCGTAGACAAGCTAGCATAACCGCTACCTGCCTCACCCTCGCATGTCTTTTCTTAATTAAAAGTTTTTCCTGATGTTGCTATCTAGTTTTCATAGAGTAGCAAATTACTGCGTCCCCTTTTCTTTTATATATCAGGCATACTTTTAAAATTTAGCGTGTAATATTGATATCCGAACAGAAAAAAACGATGGTACATGAAGCAAGCAGTCACTTGTACAAAAATTAAATCTGTTAGAAAAAAAAGAGAGGAAAAAAATACTTTAATAAGAAAGTGAAAACTGATTTCCACAAAAATAATTACATCAAGGCATAAATTTATGCAATCAATCTACCAGATTGAGGTCTGGGCTTAAACTAGGCCACTCCAGAACCTCCACATTGCTGTTTTCAAGCCATTTTGTTCCAACTATTTCTCAAAGTGCAGCTGTGTGATATTTCTTGCTTTGTTTTATATGAATAGACTGAAATCTTACATAATTTTCCTTTAATTTTTTTTATCACAACACTCCTCATGGATCAGTGTGTTCTGGTGATGTGAAGATGATTTTGACTTTTCAAACAGATTATGTGCTGAGCTGAAGTCCTTCATACCAGGAGACAGTAGCCTGTGAAATTTATTTCTATTTTTTACAGTCAGGCCTCACTGGGTTTGTCATTTCTTTTGATGTCATATCATGCAATGACATTTTAAGGTTAGGAACATGAGCCTTTTTTAGAAAACAGCATCAGAAACCAAATCAAATCTGACATTTAATCAAAAGATCTGATGGGTCAGAACTGCAGAGGTCAATTGAAAATAATAGCAAAGAATGTATTTTAATCATAAAGAGCAAAGTGAGAAATGAGAAGAAGTGACAAAATGTCTGCAGGAATGACTTTGAGAAAATCATCCCTGCTTTGATTGGGATGTGAGGAAAATGCATAAATTAGCATTTCTACAAATAATCACCAAGCTTAAAAAATCTAGTTTTACTAATGCTCGGTGATTTGTTGTTGTAACATTTAGAAATTTGGAACCTCTCTTTTCAGACACTGAATATTTATGAATAAATTTACATTCCGGTTCCGCTTTTATCTGCTGTGTCCAAAATATATTCAGCTTTCACTTAAGAAAATGTAAAAATAAACAGAACACAGACTGTATAAACAAGGAAATATGAAAAGCAAAACTTTAATGTTGAATTTTGCACAAACAATTTATAATTAAAACAATGTTGGAGCTGAAAATATTTTTTTTCTCCTATTCATTGCAATCTGTCGCAGTGTTGGTCAAAATGTGTGCAAATCATGGTGAGTGAGCAAAATCTATTCAAAAACTAACATTGTGAAACCCATAACTTGGTGACAGAATAATACATAAACTTCACAAAAAAGCAGCACAAAAATGACTGAAACTCTTTTAAAACAACAAAAAATCTGATACTCAATTTTTATTCTACATTTAAAATACTAAATTATATTTATTTTGAATTTATTGTGAAGTATTTATAAAATATATAACTTGAACCATTTTTTTGATTACTAGTTCATTTAATTTGACCCAAAATGATTTTTTTGTTTTATTTTATTTTTATTGCACTCAGACACAAACCTTTTGCACTGGAAACAGATTTAAAGTTTGAAAGTAACAAAGTATTCTGCTGCTGCATGCATGTTTGCAATTTCCTTTAAAGCCAACTTAAAATTACACTTTTCTTATGAGTTCGGAGGAAATTGAAGCCTGTTTAGATTGTAATTGCGATAAAAAGTTATAAAACATGGCTGCAGAACAATAGGTTATAATCACAATCAGAACTTCAG